CTCCAACATCACTCAACCCGTGGGGTTTCAGTATGCAGCTATCCCCACTCAACCCGTCCATGTGTCTGGCAATCTCAAACCTCACTCAACCCTTGGGGTTTCAGTGTGTAGCTATAATCACTCATCACGTCTATGTGTCCGGCAATCTCCTACATCACTCAACCTGTGGGGTTTCCGTAAGCAATCCTCACTCCACGCATCCAGGCGTCACGCGTCTTTGGTAGCGCATACTATGGAGGTTATATTTTGGGTGGCGTGTTTTACAGCGCTTTGCCAACAGCGCCAACCCANGTGTAGCTATAATCACTCATCACGTCTATGTGTCCGGCAATCTCCTACATCACTCAACCTGTGGGGTTTCCGTAAGCAATCCTCACTCCACGCATCCAGGCGTCACGCGTCTTTGGTAGCGCATACTATGGAGGTTATATTTTGGGTGGCGTGTTTTACAGCGCTTTGCCAACAGCGCCAACCCACTAAAGTCTAGATTGCGGGGGGGGTGGCTTGTTTTACAACGTCGTTGCCAAGCGACGAAAACCCAACCCCAATGGCAAACACCGGGGGCACATGCAGAGGGCGCGGAAATATCAATGGCGCCCACCTCACGTCACCCGTGAAAAACGACGCCGCCACGCCGTCAGCGCGAAGCTGGTCGACTGCTTCCGACAGGAACTTCTCGCGACGGCCCATGATGACCACGCTCGCGCCATGGAGACCTGCAGTAGCAGTGGGACAGAGGAAGGGGTTCAGCACTCAGCACCCACACTTGATCTTAGATCTTGTGAAAGTGCTCACGGATTTCCTGCTTCGCCTTGGCGGGAATGTCTACAAGTGTGGCCTGTCATATGATCGCTGTTTTTTCGACTACGTCGATCGGCATAAAAACAAATACTGCGACATTCCTACCATGTGTAAAAATGTACGGTAACTTCACAGGTGTGAGGGTCAGCGCGTATTATAGTGCCGGACAGACGCTGTAGAGTACGAGCGCCGCGGCTCCTTGGTGCTTGGTCCATATGTAGCAATGCAGGCCATCCTTCTAAATACCGGTTGTACGATCGATCAGTGTACCCATTCGACAGAGCAGCTCCGTGGCCGGCTTCGGCACGCGGCTCTTCGTAGGAGGCGACGTCGCTGTTTCAGGGTCATTCTAAGTCACAGGCACGGCGGAGTCAGGTTTGAATGTTGTAATGCGGGTAAATTTTGACTGCATTCCTGCCTGCTCTTCTGTTGCCCTTGCGAACACTCTGCTCGCCGCAGAACTGCAACAACAGACAGCGCATTTCAAGCTTCAGGAACCCCTTTCGGTCACAGGCCAGCGCACGCGTGTACGCGGAAGTAACGCGGCAGGACGCAGAGCATGAGACCAACATGCGGTGCAACCCGCTACCCGAGTACACCATACCTAGCTGCCTGGCGATTTGGAAGCCGATCCCAGAGCCGCCACCAGTCACAAGCGCGACTCTTCCTCGCAGGCAGTCTTGGTGGAACGGTGACTGGATTGCAGAGGAACTCATTGCGATCGTGTGTGTAGCAGCTGGTATGTGGGCGGAGCAGCCGGGCAGCCCGTTTGGCGACAGGAAGCGGCGGAACTACAGTAGGAAAAACATGCCTCGCGAACCGATGTGGCGAGCGGAATCGGGCCGAACTCTCCCTCTCCCACACCCCACAACACGATCTCTCTCCCTCTCTCTCTCCAGGGCTGAAAATGGCTGACGCTGTCTCACAAGTTGTGGAGGGCGAGACTGAGGATGATCTCCTCACTAAGGTATTCTACGAGCCTGACAATTATGTATGCATTCCTCCGAAATTGGATGCTTTCCCTCATATCTGTGTAACAGCAGTCTACAAGCAGCTGCGCTGCTGTACATAGTCGCCAGCCTCCATCCGTAGTCGACAAGTACAACACCTACTTGCTCGGACGACAGAGTTGTTGCACAAATATCGTTGTCCACAGCAGGCAGACTCGCTGCTTTTTTTTATCACATGCACAGGCACTCGCCAGGTCTTGATTGGGGTCCACAATCATGCGAAAAGACGATGTGCCTCTGTATTTGAGGTGATCTGATTGTGAAACATACCCTGATCGATATCCTCAGAGTGCCGCCCGACGAGGCACACATGAGCAGGGACATGGATACAATTGCCCTGGGTGCTAGCATATGAGTTTTCTCATATCAAGCACCCACGGTTTAGTTAACAGATACATCGATGTGTACACTACTTCTACAAATCTGTTGTACGGTTGAAGTTGCACGTGAAGGGTCACACGTGTCGCCCCATCCCACTCCTCGCGCCCTCGTGTGCCGCTTTGCACTTGTTTCCTCGTCAATTGAGCGAGGCATGATAGGTGAATCGCCTTGCCCGCGGTATACGATCATCGTTGTTCATTCTCGTGTTTTGTTGATTCTCTTTCCGCCGCCGTTTTCAAGGAGAAATCTTATCTCTTTGAAGAGAGGTTAGAGACCGCTGGGCGGTTGCGGCAGCTGGGGAACGAACGGTTCAAGAGAGGCCGTATGGAGGGCGCTGCGGAGGCATACGAAAGGTGGCGATGTCTGTCAGGGATATGCACTCGCGGGTTTCCTCAGCCGCCTCAGAGAGTATCGGTCGTTCGTTACCCGGTATATTTTGGAAAATATCCCATGAAGGCTCTGTGTGTTCAATACTTGTCCGAAGGGTTGCAGCACGAAAGAACAAAGAGTGGAGATGAAGCCGTCAACAAGGGTCATATCTCGCCCGGGCGCCTGTGAAGGCCGACTCCCTCTATTCTCTCAAGTAGACAAACGGCCCAGCCCCCTCATCCCCGCGGCCGGCTGATGCGTCGTGTCGGAAGCAGCACGTTGAGGTGGTGAAGAATCCACTCCTTGCCTCACAACGCAGGCAACGAACGAGCGCGCACCAACCGAACCCCCCCCTCCCCCGCCGCCGTCGATGCCCTTCCGTCGTCCGAACCAAATCGAACAACACAGAGCGCTGCACCATGTGGACTTTGACGAGCTCCAGATAAACTTCGACTTCAGCGACAAGCACAGGGAGAGCCTCACGACCGCGAAGCTTCCGGTGCTTCTCAACCTGTGTCAGTGCCTCGCCAAGCTGGGCGGGAGCGCGAGGGGGGGGGGGGGGGGGGGGGNGGGGGGGGGGGGAGGGCGCAGCGACAACGCGGGCCGCGCCGCGGAGTTCGCGGGCCAGGCGATCGAGCTCGACGCCACGGTGAGAATCGCCCGCCGTCTGTTGGTCCCTCATGTTTCGGATAACTGGTTTTCGTCTTTAGAATGTTGGGATGTGTGGAACCCTCGTCCAATCGAGGGAGTTTGTGCTCTGAGGAGCCCTCGTGTCAAGTTTCCTATCCTCAGAGATGCAAGACCGTTGGTTAACACACCACACAGTTCTTCATTATTCAGGACTGACCTCGACGAGGCATCCACACATACATGTTCATGGTCGAAGTCACGCCGCATTCCTCTTCATGCACGTTACACGTGAACCGACACTGACGTCCTCCTAGAACCAATCATATACGACCTTGTAAACTGCCGCAATAGTTCTGTCCTACTTTATTCCACAGCACCCTCCAAAGCAACGTACTACTTCAAAGTAGATATCTACGGAAGCTTGACAACAAATAAATCGACACTGACATTGCGTCATGCCATTGAATGATAACGGCCTCAGCCTCCTAATGATATGATAACACGCCTTTACAACGTTTTCCTACTTAAGTTATTAATGAGAATACTTCACAATTGAACCCGTCAAATAGACTATAGATCGACACCATATTCCGATTGCAACCTAGCAAGAAATTCTTGATCCAGATCCATCTTACGCAACTCCAACCTTACGAATTGCGGAGCATCTTCCCATATCTTTTTCAACGGCTCCCACGTGCTTTCATCGCGCTCGAATCCGGCCCATTCTACCTTGACTTGTGTTGTACCGTCCTCATTTTCACCAATGCCTACAATAGCAGACATCGTAAACTCGCCCTGTGTGTACGCATGCTGAAAAACATGCTTCAACTCGGAAGTCGCTTGTAACTCGCTATCCGAAGAAAACCTTAGTCGAGCTACATGCACGGTCGTGTACGTCTCCTGAAATGATGTTTTGCACTCCGTATACCGTATATGACACAAGATAACACACCCCCTTGACCGATTTTTGAAGCTCGATTTCTCAACTGCCGGAACAGTCACAGCGCCGAAAACGGCGGCGTTGAAACCGTCTCGTCAAGAGCTTTTCGAAAATGTATCGTTTCGTTTATGCATCCTCTTCGTCGTGGAGTAATCGAGCTTTGAAAATCGGTCCAAGGGGTGTTATCTTGTGTCATATACGGTACATCCTTACTCTTTACCTTCAGAGCTGGTTCATGTTTGCTCATGATTCGATTCTTAAAGTGCGATGCGGTATCGCTGAACCACATTTGCGGTACACTCGAAGTCTTACACCAGTTGGGCAAAATCTTGGCTATTAGAGCGGCCGTGCACGTCTCCGTTGGTTCTAACCACACGAAGTTGCGAAGATCATCCATCACCACTAATATGTATTTGAATCCAACGCCTTCATCCAAGCCTTCGATATTCAACAGCCCGGTCTTGTACCATGCACTGTTTCTCCAAGCGACCTTGGGATATTTTCACCCGCCCTCGAATCTACACAATGCAAGCACTGTTTGACAAACTCTTTCACCTGGTTTTCCATGCGAAACCAACAGCAGTACTCTTGTAANATCGCTGTCCCTTTTCGGGAGGTTCAAAAACGCAAAAAAAGACCACGTAACAAGTGGTTTTTGGTCAGTTGTCCCTTTTTGAGAAAAGGGACAGCCCAAAAAGAGACAGCGTAACAAGTGGCCTAATCGTTGCAAAGTTGCCACCGTACCCCGATGTCCTGCGCCTCGCATATGAGCGCAGACCATGAGACGTTGTTGTAGTTCTTTGGCATCTTCAGGAATCCAAATGACCTCGCGCCCCTTCACCTTGATTCGAAACATTCCTTCGCTATCCTTCACGGCCTTTCCATGTGGCGCCATGAAAACTTCCGCTCCATGCGCCCTAGCAACACCCCCCCCCCC